AGAAATTACTTAGCTAAGAAAGAAGCTACTGAGTCATTCAAGTGATGCAATGGCCTCCACAGGGCCATGATCTCAACCCAACTGTGCAGATCTGGAATTTGATAGATCAAAAACTTCGACAAATCAAAAGTTACTTCCAAAGAAACTTTATGGAAGTGCATTAGAGACATTTGGAGTAAAATACTAAAGGACACTTTGATTAAATATGTTGCAACAATGCCTGAAAGACTGTCTGCAGTTATTAAAACAAAAGGAGGACACAGAAAATATTAACTGTTTGCTGAACTCAAGCACTTACACTGAATTTCTGTTGTATTAAATATGAAGATTAACCTTCATTTACCTTCCATTGTTCTTTGAAAGTAGCCTGAAATCTAATTTTTGACTTTGTCCTAACACTTTTACACAGAACTGTATATATAGTTAGTATTGATACATTGTAATAATAATATTCACCATTGCAAAAGAAATGTAATTACAAAATAATTTTCATACGACGCATTTCCATTATTTATTTACATTTACTATATAGATTTACAATCACTTTTGACATTATGATAATTTCAATTGATTATATATACTTTATAATAACTTTAAAAGACAGTTATTATGTTTTCAAACACTAAGAATACTCAAAATTGCAAAATAAATGTAATTACAAAATAATTATCAAACAACGCATTTCCAATTTTTTATTTTCATTTTCTATATAGATATTCAATTACTTTCTTTTCTTTATATGCTATAATTATAATCAATAATAATATTTACCAATTAAACATATTTCAATTCAAATTGTACAATTTTTCAATAAGTGACAGTTTACAAAGCACTGACCCACATACAATCCAACTCCAAACTCATGACAACAGAATGATGTCACCTTGTGCACTTTTTCCAGTCTGTCCATGTACTTGCATACTACACAAGGTACCTGTTCATTGGGTCCTTTATGTTGTTGTTCTTGGCAGTTATTTTAATTTAAAAATAATTATCTCCTAAGAAATAATTATTAATCAAGGGTGGTCGAAGATTAAACAATCCTCTTTCACCCCGCGCATGGTCTAGGAATATGGGCTTAACTTGAGAAAATAGGAAATTAATGTAGACAAGGTATATAAGTTTAAAAAGGTAAACGTGAGAGTAACGGTTAAAAAAATAAAATAAAAGTGAAGAGCAAAGTAGACTAAACTAAACGCCCGATGTCGGACTGATGGTCCATCAGGACGGCAGGGATCTAAAAATCCTAAAATCCCATTGGGTCTTTTATCTGTAAGTGGGAGGTATTTCAGGAAATGACAGGTCACAAAATCTCTACCTGAAAGCTGATCAGGTACAGAGAATTGATGCCTTCCTGGCTTCATTGGTGCAAGAGTTCCATATTTCTTGAGGATTTGCAGGACGATATGGTAACTGAACATTCGCAACTTCATCCTCTTACCTGTCAGCACCAAGTAGAGATTGAAAGCATTCATGAGGACGACTTCAACAAGATCTTCTTATACCACTTGATGGACTTACGAAGACACTCCACACCACCTATTTGCATATCTGATTTTTAAACCATATGCATGTTTTTTATGTAGTCCGACACTGCATCAGGTTTCATAATTATTTCATCAGTTGCATGGTGCTTCTTGCTACTGCCCTTTATGGTGCCTTTGTGAATGGTGGTCAACATCGTGACATCCCTCTTGTCATGCCAAAAGAAGCCCAAAATATTCATGGATTCCTGGAGATCAATGACCCCACATTTGGCACATTGCTTGTATTTAGGCATATACTTTCAATTGACATGAACAGTGCCAACTGAACTGGTGTTATTTTCATACAGAAAAAGACATAAGGAAGGACCTATATACCAATTGTATGTATAAGGGATATGTTTTTTCCTCATGTTTTTATCCATCATTTTCATTATGATAGAACCTGATATTTCCAAGGGACCATCTGACTGGATGTCAACATTAGTAGCTGTGTATGTTGTTATACTCAAAATGATCACACAATATAAAAATCATTATACCAAGCTGGTGCCTGTTTGATGGTATATATTGCTTGAAGACAAGCCTCCCTCTGGATAAGATGAGAGACTCATCTCTCACAATCTTACAGAAAGGATAAAAGAACTTGTTAACCCTCTCCTTCAGCATTGTAAATAAGCCTCTTATTTTCCATAGCCGATCATTCAGAACCAGGTTTAGATTATCGGCAAAATGAATAAATTGCAAAAGTAAGAGGAAACTATCCCTGACCAAATACTTTCTGAAGATTGGAGTGCCAAGAAGAGGATCATGGTTCGAATAGTTGGTAAGAACATGTTTTTTTATATGTGCCATTAGCATAAGTATTACCAGAAACACATACACTTCACTGATGGTTGTATTGACCCATCGATGAACTGAGATTCGGAAACAATAAAGTCCCTGTATTTGTTTGTTTCGCTCAATATAGAATTCATCACTTCATCATCCAAGAAGGCTTGGAAATATTCTATTTCTACAGCCTCCTCATTGACTAGGAATCCTTATGTTATTCTGGAATCAAAAGTATGAATTTCTGGGTTAAAATTATCTCCATGAGACCAGACAAAAGGTTCTATATCAGCCTGGGTCACAGGATGATGTGCTAGTTTCTTGGGGGGGAGGGATGCGACACAACTATGCTCTTCTTCCCAGTCACTATCCTTCTATATCAGTTGCACTTGATTATATTTCTTGATAATACTCCTCATCTTCTTCACCAGAGGATAATAACAGTTCTGCTTTACTGTCATCACGAAGTTTTAGTAATTTTTGAATGGAGTAAAATTCTCCTGGACAGGGTGTTTATATTTGGGAGCAGCAGATATGTAAGATGTACTAGGTCCTTCAGCTATGACTTCATGTGGGTAACTGAAGCATGGATGCATGGCATTGCTTGGGTACTGTACTGGGATGACTTTCCAAGCCTCCAATGTAGTGGCAGCCATTCAAAATATTGTGCACAAAATGCTTGCCTCATATGATGTCAATTGCTGATGAAGGGTTAAGACACAAATAATACATAATTAACTAAGATATAAAAGTAAGACTTAAATACAATTTAACTGTCTCTCTAACTATATCATATTTAGGTAAGAAACAACCATAAGTGCTATCATGTATCAAGTGGCCAACAATACTATAAGCAGTTACATCTACCCAATAACAACCTTGGCATCAATTTCAAATTAACTGTTGTTAGATTATAGTGTGAAATGAGCTCTTTCTAATGACTATACACATATGTATCAAGTAACTACATGTATGTTAGAAGCTCAAGCAAATGTATAGAATGTTGGCATGGCACCCATCAGGAGTTGACAAAATGTATTACTTGTTTCTACTCCACTTAGTCAGAGAACTTTGAAGCTTATATGTCAATAGGGCAGGTAATCATGATAAATTACCTAGAAATGCATATACAGGAGTTATCTGAGTCACAACAGAAAGTGAGAAAGTTGAAGTTTTTCATAGCTTGTGGGTCACGTGACAGCAAACTGAAGTTAAAGTATTTTCTTAAAGGTTCCTATTGAAGTAAAGAAATTAAAACTTAGGATTATAACATACATCATAATGTTAATTTCATTGACATACATGGAAAGTAAAGTTGTTTAATTAAATTTTGACTGTAACTCAGTAACATGCACAAAAGAGGAGTTTAAAAAGTGTGTTGTGCTTAAAGGGTTAATCATAATGAATAAAAAAATTAAGCTCATTTACTGTGTATTTTATGTAGAAATGATTTGTCTCTCGACTAAAAAAAATATTAACTTAGCATTTAAGGATTCGTCTGAAATTAATATTAACCGGCTTTGTTTTCATGTTCATAGTCTACCTATAGCTGAAAGGCGAGGTTACAAGAATGTTTTTGATGCACTGATTAGAATAACAAGAGAAGAAGGAGTGTTAACCTTATGGCGTGTAGGTATTCAGTTATTTTAAAGCATTTAAAAAAATATCTTGGCATAAGTGGCTAATGTTGGTGTAGGGACTTTATTTTGAATTAAACATTTTTTGTCTTGGTAAGCTGTATGGACCACAGGTCCAAACAACCAATATCTTGTATGTTTTGTTAGTAGTGACCTACTTCATTTTTCTCTAAAATTAATTTCATTCGTATAATTATTTATAATGTTTAAGATAATTTTGAGTAATTTTTATACATGTGAAGATTTTGCATAGTTAGCTTTATAACACATAGAATTAAGAGTCTAAATCTTCTAAGCTAGACGAATATCAAAGATATTATTGGAATTACAGTTGAAAATAAGTTAACAATGAGACTACTTAACTGATGATTTAATGCATTCTAATCATTATGAATTTTTCGTTTTTCTGTGTACTTATTCATGGCATTAAGTACTTTTATTCAATTTCCTATACATAATTTACTTCATTAATTTGTGCACAGCATGGTCACAAGTAAATAGACACCACCTTTTCAGAAAAAAATTAAAATTTTCAGTCATATTCACATGAATTGATATATTTATAATTTAATTAATATCTAGTAGATCTTCCTTTCGCTTCATGGAGTTCGTTGATCCTTTGGGGCATCATGAGAATCATCTCGTCAATTTTAGATTGTGGGATTTACGCCCACTCTTGCTTCAAAACTTGGAATAGATTGCTTTTCGAAGTTGGTTTTTTTGGTTGTTTCTTGACTCGCCGGTCAAGTATGGCCCAGAGGTTTTCTATGGGGTTTATGTCAGGAGATTGGCTTGGCCAGGGCAACTTCTGGATACCATTTTTCTTCCAGCCACTTTTGGGTGTTTCTAGCAGTGTGACACGGTGCTCCATCTTCTTGGAACAACGTTGTGTTCTTGTCCACGAAACCAGAGTAATAAAGTGGCAAGTGTCCTTCCTCCACTATTTCGACGTATTTCGCAAAATTTATGTTGCCAAAGCACTCCACTAAGCTTGATCTCCCACCAACCCAAATAGCTCCCCAAACCATCACGCTGAAACCACCATGCTTCACAGTTGGCTGCAATCTGTTGAGCCAAAACTCTTGGTGAGGCATTCTCCAAACCCATATCGTCCCACTGTCCAAAAATTGAGCGAATCTTGATTCGTCTGTGAACAATACGGTCTTCAAAAAGTCCAGAGGCTTGGTCATCATATCATTTGCCCACTTCTTTCATCTGACTATG